GATGACTTTCTTTTTCTATGCGCAGGCATGAATCAAAATTAATTCAAAAAATTGTCGAAGAAGTTTCAAGTAAATTGAATCCCAGATTTTTGTTTGACGATAGGCCGCTGAAGAGGTTGAAGACAACAATGATATCTGGCGGTGGGCTGCTTGACGATGCTGAGGAGAAGCAGATAACAAATAGAGCTGTGCGGGATTGGCTGGACGAGTATAAAGACGCTGCCTATGAGGCCGACGACTTCTTGGATGAGATTGATTATGAAGCTCTATGGCAGGAGTCGGAAGCTGGAGCTCAAACCTTCAGATGTCAGACGCCGAAGCGGTCGATCAAATTAGAAGACCTCCAGGAGAGACTAGATGACTTGGTTAAACAAAAGGATGCCCTTGGTTTGATCGACCGCACTGGAAAAGAAACATCATCGCCTAAAAGGCCAACAACTTCTCTGGTGGATGAACGTTGTGTTTATGGTAGGGATGATGACAGGGAAGCAATACTGAAGTTGCTTCTAGCAGATGATGCCAGTGGAGAAAACCCAGGTGTGGTTCCCATATGGGGAATGGGCGGGGTTGGTAAAACCACGCTTGCTCAGCTTGTATACAATAGCAGCGAAGTAAAAGAGTGGTTCGGTTTCAAAGCCTGGGTTTGTGTTTCAGAAGATTTCAGTGTTTGGAGGCTAACCAAGGTGATCGTTGAGGAGGTCTTTTCAAAGGCTGATTCTTATAGTCTGAATAATCTCCAGCTTCAGTTGAAGGAGAGATTTCAGGGGAAGAAATTCTTGCTTGTTTTAGATGACGTTTGGAATGAAGATTATGATGAATGGGATAGGTTTCTTACCCCCCCGAAGTACGGAGAACAAGGGAGTAAGATTCTTGTCACAACACGCAATGAAAGTGTAGCATCAGTCATGAGAACTGTTCCAACTCATCATCTAAACGAATTGACGGAAGACAGCTGCTGGTCCGTGTTCTCCAAACATGCATTTCGTGGTGAAAATCCCACTGCTCATGAAGAGTTGCTAGAAGTTGGTAGAGCGATAGTGAGAAAGTGTAAAGGCCTTCCTCTAGCTGCAAAAACACTCGGAGGTCTGCTACGCACCCAAAGAGATGTCAAGGAGTGGGAGAAGATATTGAAAAGCAATCTATGGGATTTACCCAAAGACAATATCCTCCCAGCCTTGAGATTAAGTTATCTTTATCTCCCGCCACATGTGAAGCAGTGTTTTGCTTATTGTGCCATATTTCCAAAAGACTATTCATTTCGAAAGGATAAATTAGTGCTCTTGTGGATGGCAGAGGGCTTCTTGGTCCACTCTACAGTAGATGATGAGATGGAAGAAGCAGGTGCTACGTGCTTTGATGATCTCTTGTCAAGGTCCTTTTTCCAGCAATCAAGTGCCTCTCCCTCATCATTTGTGATGCACGATCTCATGCATGACTTGGCTACCCATGTGTCCGGTCAATTTTGCTTCAGCTCCAGGTTGGGGGAAAATAATTCTTCCAAGGCCACCAGAAGGACTCGACATTTATCACTCGTAGTAGATACGGGAGGCGGTTTTTCAAGCACAGAATCAGAAATCATCCGTGAAGCCCAACATCTACGCACATTCAAAACTTTTACACGCCGTCCGTGGCGTCCTCCCGAATTTTATACTGAGATCTTTCAGTCAACACTTGAGCGCCTACGAGTGATATTCATGACTGATTGTAGTGATGCAATGGTTTGTTCAACTAGTAAGTTGAAGCATTTGCGGTATTTGGATCTTTCCTCGTCATATGATTTAGTAACGTTGCCTGAAGAAGTGAGCGGGCTTCTCAATTTGCAAACGTTGATCTTGAAATATTGCAAACTACTTGCTAGTCTACCTGATCTTCGAAATTTGAAGCGTTTACGACATCTGAATCTTGAAGGAACATATAGTATGCTTTCCAAAAGACTATTCATTTCGAAAGGATAAATTAGTGCTCTTTTGGATGGCAGAGGGCTTCTTGGTCCACTCCACAGTAGATGATGAGATGGAAAGAGCAGGTGCTGAGTGCTTTGATGATCTCTTGTCAAGGTCGTTTTTCCAGCAATCAAGTGCCTCTCCCTCATCATTTGTGATGCACGATCTCATGCATGACTTGGCTACCCATGTGTCCGGTCAATTTTGCTTCAGCTCCAGGTTGGGGGAAAATAATTCTTCCAAGGCCACCAGAAGGACTCGACATTTATCACTCGAAGTAGTTACGGGAGGCGGTTTTTCAAGCACGAAATTAGATAACATCCGTGAAGCCCAACTTCTACGCACATTCCGAACTTTTTCACGCGATTGGTGTTGTTCTCCTGATTTTTGTAATGAGATCTTTCAGTCAACACATTGTCGCCTACGAGTGCTATCCTTGTCTAAGTGTTGCGCTGCAGCTAAGATGCCCTTTTCAATTAGCAAGTTGAAGCATTTGCGGTATTTGGATCTTTCTTGGTCATATTTAGTAACGTTGCCTGAAGAAGTGAGTTCTCTTCTCAATTTGCAAACGTTGATCTTGAAATATTGCAAACAACTTGCTAGTCTACCTGATCTTGGAAATTTGAAGTATTTACGACATCTGAATCTTCAAGGAACAGGAGTCGAAAGGTTGCCTGAATCTCTGGAAAGGTTAATCAACTTGCGGTATCTTAACATCTCAAACACGCCTTTGAAGAAGATGCCACAACATATAGGTCAACTGACAAAGCTCCAAACGTTGACTGTCTTTCTCGTGGGAAGACAGGGTGAGACTAGCATTAAAGAATTGGGAAAGCTACCACATCTACGGGGACAACTTCGTATTGGGAACCTTCAAAATGTGGTGGATGCTCGGGATGCTGTTGAGGCAAATTTGAAAGGTAGAAAGCACCTTGATGAGCTGAGGTTTACATGGGATGGGGACACTCATGACCCGCAACACGTAACAAGCACACTAGAGAAATTAGAGCCCCATAGAAATGTGAAGGATCTTCAGATTCATGGTTATGGAGGTGTAAGGTTTCCGGAGTGGGTAGGAGAGTGCTCTTTCTCAAATATAGTGTCCTTGAAGCTCAGTAGATGTACAAACTGCACCTCCTTACCACCGCTCGGGCAATTAGCTTCTTT